TCCAATAACCAATAAATACAAAAAGTATATAAATTTGAAATACGTATTAAAGTTAACTGCATACAGAACGCCGGCAATACAGGTGGAGTTTTTTAGTTTCCACTTGATCTGACCAAAAACTGATAGTAATACAGTCAGTCGTGATTTAGTTTGTTGCGCATGATAATGTTGAAAATAGTTTGTTCTTAACTGTTAGAAAATTATGCGATCATGATTTGTTCTTTACATGTTGTAGTAGATTTAGCTGAAAAGCCGACTAAGAAAAACGAAAAGGCCAGGTTTTTGGGGTCCTTGTCATATTTCCCTCTTACTGATAATTTCTTTTGACTCTACCAAACCGCAGGAGACAGATAAAACAAGCCATTTTTGAGTGAAAATTCATGGTTCAACAATAACAGTAAATCTTGTGGTTAGAATCATACAGAGTGCTTATTTATGTGTTATTTTTCATGTCAAGTGCAAAAAATTACCATTTCTCGCAGTTTTAACCTGATTTCTAATTATTGGTAAAATATCCAAGATGGCGTCAAAATGGCGACCATTGTTGATGACGTCACAGGCCTCCGGCAATGCCACCACTAATAAAATATACCTCTTTTTGTTAAGAAGATCAAAGGCTTTTCACTGAAGGCAAAATCGTTTCGAAGTACTACAACATAACAAAAACCGAGGGGTATGAATTTGCATGTAAGTCCGAGGGTTAAGACTGGAAAAACATTATCGCCCCCTTAACAAATTTTCAAACCTTTTGACTCATGGATTATGTGACATTGTGTAATGCGATAGATTACCGTCATGAATGATGTATTGTATTTTATCATCATCATCATCATCATTATTCATACTATTATCATCATTTAAAACTAGTGGCTGTGGATTCAGACCAATTTGGATGAATTGTGAAGACAAAACGTTTTCAAGATGGCTTTTTTGATAGACTAGTATCGTATATAGTATAGAACAACTTAGCTCTATACACAAATAGCTACAAATATTTTATTTCAGAAAAAGTTTTAGAATTTAGTTCACTCAATGTATATACTACTGTTTATTTTCCATCCTGATAAGCCATTTAAACGAAGAAACCTAAGAATAGGAATTCCAAGAAATTAAATAGAACTTCGTGTAAAAATAAATCAAAAGTCTGAGTGGATAGATCCTTCAACAGTTTCAAAGTCAGTGTCCGCACAAAAACTGTGAAAATCGATCCGGGCTATGTAAAAGGGATGCAGAAGGGATTTTTTCACACTTCTATTAGTAATTTTCCATTCTGAGGATTTTTCACAAAATGTGTCAGTTTTATAACATGACTTTTTACCACATGGTCAAATGAGGATTCTTTTTTGTTTAAAGATGGCTTAATTTGTCTGCAATTATTTCGAAAATATAAACATTCTGATCCAGCTGGAAAATTATCCTAACCACGAAAATAAACAACAACGTAGCCTTCAAAACTGTTAGTTCGCAAAAGAAAATAAGGACGAAAACAATTAAAGCAAAGGAGTTGTTAAACATGTTTTTGGTTACGAAAAGTTATTAGGTTTGTTACGTTAACACGTAGAATGAATAGAAACGGAGGATTTGTCCATGAAGTGCGTTGTAGACTACATCAAGTTACATCCAATTAAGAATCCTTCACAAAATTGATTGTGCCATAGATTTTTGTATTACTGCAATGAATTCCATAGATTTTCCGGGGGAAAATAGGATATCACGGTGTGCGTTTAACTTTGACGATCTCCCGCTGTTGAAAGTTAATTTGGAATCTACACAGAGGATAATGAATTTTACAAACAAACAGCTCCATTATCGTAATTTTTTTCGACACTTAAGAAAACATAAACAAGTCATCTAATGAAAAAAGAAACCAATTGGTATTGAAGATTAATGTACGGATGTTGACTTGCTCAGTTTTACGAAGGACGACTACATGGCCGGTACTACACTTAACTTCGATCCGTTTTAACAAAACAGGGAGTTTCCATTTGAAAGTTAAGCAGTGTCGAATAAGACTTTGAGCAAACTAAAGGTCAATGCCAAATATAAAAAAATACTATGCAGTGTACAGTCAACTCTCTTCAAGACGGACACCTTTGGGACAGGCAAAAAGTTTTAGTGTCCATCTTAGAGAGATGTCCGTCTTATAAAGAGTCAAATAAAGGGAATAAACAAAGGAAGGGACCAACTCTAGGTGTCCGTTTTACAGAGGTGTCCGTCTTATAAAGGTGTCCGTTCAGAGAGAATCGACTGTAAATCTTGATAATTCCAATCTCCCAGAGATTTTGCTAAGTTTTTGTGCTATTGATGTTTATGCAAACTCAGAAATACGGCTCATTCTATAAGGAGTAGAGACCAAGAAAGGGTATTTTCGGCGAGTTCAGGTTATAGCGACATCTCTGAATAACTTATTCGTGTGTGGAACAGAGATTGAATCGCTATTCCATACACGATGCAAAATACCACAAAAATATTGTCTTACAGCCTCTAACATTTAGGCAGTTTTTATAATACGGTATGCATGATCTTGTTTTCTGGCATTACAATGATATTTCAACCATGTTAGTTACGCATTCTGTGAAGTTTTTTGCAATTCAGATTTACGGAATATATACTTGACATAATTTAAGGCCGGATCATGCAACGGAGTCTTCTGAACTTAAGCCGTTTCTCAATAGTCGCATTTTTATTTGCAGTAAATTTTGCAGTATCGTGCTTTTCACAGCCTTTGAGATATCCTTGATGGACTTGATGGTTTGTGCTTGCAATGGTTTGATATTCAGAATCGATCAACCCTCGTTACCACAATACTATTATTAATATGGCTTATAATCAGTTCAAGCTCATGAGTTTAAAATTGAGCTATATTTGCTCAAATTGTTCACGGAATCTGTACTTTTGATTAAATTGCAATATTCTATTATTTTCTGGCCGGAGAAAAGTTAAGATACTTGATTTTTAGAATTAAAACGTAAATATTTGAGCCCTATAAATACCTTCCTTGGAGCAGCTGCAAATCGATCGAAGAACTCGTTGAATTTCCAAATCAGGCTTTTCCCTTCCTTAACATTTATAGACTTAAAACTTTGTGATGAAGTTGAACGAAAATGACTTTAACGGACGATTTATTGTCTTGTGAGCTCGTTGCGCCGAGTTACCCGCAAACACGAAGTTTTTCTCCCAGTTTCCACGGTATCCGGCAAAACACGAGACAGCGTAGAAATGCGCAAAGCGAGGTATTATTTGCCCCACGCTTATTGGTTGATTACCGCGTGTCAGTGTTTAAAACCACAAAAAAAGCTATTGTTCAAACCTTTTTACAAATGCTTCGTCATTCCCCATGGATTTATGATGCTGGTCACATATTCAGTCAGATGGGTTTCTCCGCATATTATTTAACCTAAGTATCAGCACAGCTTCATAGCGCATAGCAGAAACAATGTTTCAAATAAACAGGCATCTTATGAAATGCTGAGTAAAACACTAGCCTATTTAGAAAATTCGCAAGACAGTTGGCGTTTGTATAAAATTCCACTTTTTAAACAGAAAAATTAAAGTCAACTTTTGTTTCATTCTTTAAGCAATAATAATGGAACGGTATCAACCAATTATGGAGATACTATTTAAACGTGATAAATTATTTACAACAAACGCTCCTGACAACCACATGAATATAAACATAAAAGAAATAATGAAGATTTTTTAATAAGAAATATAATGAAAAATATGCATATGATTAATCACTTTTGAGATAATACCGGAGGATTACAACCACAATGCGGAATCATGAATTTAATAACTTCACGTTTAATGTATAGCTCTACAAATTTGTCTTTCTGTAACAACTAACTGTATTGCTATTCAAATTCTTGACTTCGCGTATCTTTGCCTCAGTTATCATTTCTTAATCTTTGCGACAGAAAGTTAGAATAGTTAAAGGGTTGGGGGGGGGAGGGGGGGTTGGAGCATTTTCAGTTCGCGCGAATTAATTTCCCGGTTAATTGCACGCCTTTTCATATTTTTTTTTTTTCGAAACGAAATTCTCTGAAAGAATGTTTTGTTGACATCTCATTTATTTAACTTCTAGATTTCTTCACAAAATATTAAAATTACTGATTATGTACATGTACGTCCATTTTTTACTATCATCATCATCACTGTTATTATTATAGTATTGTCGAATCTCAGGCTTAAAAGGTTTACTTCGCCTGGTAAATTACCCTTGGGGGTAAGCAACAACAAGTTCCTAGAGCGATATATTTAACAATTATTCCACGAGTGCACGTTGGATAAGAGACAGTAGATAGCCAACTAGCGCCGAGTTGGCTATAATCATCTCATATCCAACGATCGCGGGTCGAATAATTGTTTTATTAAAAACGCCCATAAAATATCGAGAATTTTTCCCGACTTTGTAAAAACATCAGATTTTCAGCTTGTTTTTAATTTTGATCAGACGCGTACAATTACCATAATTGGAGAGCGTGGTATAATGGCTAATATCCCATGATGGCTGAGCCAATCAGAGCTCTAGAATTGCATTATCCAATGATTCAGTTTTTAAAATTTATACTTGGCTGCGAGGCTTGGGAGAATAAAAGAAAAGAAATCATTTTGGGGCTCAGCAATCAATGATACATTTCTTTTGTTTTATTCCCCCGAACCTCGTAGCTAACTATGATTTTCAAAATGTTGAAATTGGTCTATTTGCGACCTGACGCGCCCTAACAAGTTGAGAATACAGAAAACAGCTCACCTATGTAATAGAAAAATATATAAACAAATAAATAAAATACATGAATGAATGATGAAAAAACACCGGTATATTTATACAGGTTTCTACACACGTCGCGTTATGCAGCGTTATAAAGTCTGTCTGGAACGTAGCACACCCATCCTCTGCCGAAGGCAAAATGTCACTATCCATTCACGTAAATAATTCCTGAAGCACCCAGACGCGGGACCCGTTCAGCGTTATTTTATTCCATCCAAAGAATGTTTGCTCAAGGTCTGGGAAGTACAACATCCGGGAATGTACTCTCGGCTTCTCTTACTGCCCCCTCTGGGAAAACAGCTGCCACACACAATTCCGTTGCTTTTACCCATCCCCGGACAGGCATGTTGACAGCCTTCCCTACAAAAGAGCAGACAGGATAGGAGCTAGTCAAACTCATTTGCAGCTTGAGTTCGTTAACCTCAATATCAACACGAATATTATCCTACATGTTGTCTTCACAATTCTTATGTTCATTGTGAGCAGATTCCTTTAAATAAATACGTATACTAACATTTCATTTCTGTTTCTCTTTGTTTCTATTATCGTAAGTCTTATCTGTAATTCAACAGTTATCCGTAAAGCATACCTGGTGCATGTTTGTCAGGCTATACACAATGCTCGAAACTGATTGCATGCAGAACTTTGAGCGAGCCAATAATCGTGGACCAGATATATTATCAGATAGCGAGGCTGAGGTCCATTGACACAATCATAAATAGCGGCGATTTTAGGTAAACACGTTTTCAAAAATCCTTCTTTCGGGCGTAACAATTCTTAAGCCTTAAGGCAACAGGAAATTGTTTAATGTCTGCAAGGCCTTTTGGTACAAACTAGGCTTGCAGAGAGAGAAATCTGATGTGGATATCTGTACGAAAACATACTAGACTTTACAAACTTAGATATGATCACATCTACGAGTATTGTGGGAAGGAACAAACGGGTAATTAATTGTCAGGCTGGCTGGTTGTTCAAAAGGTGGATAACGCTATCTACTGGATAAATCTCTATCCACTGGATAGCGCAATTGGTTTCCCTAATACTTAACTTCTGGATAGTGATTTATCCGGTGGATAACGCTATCTACTGGATAAATCTCTATCCACTCGATAGCGCAATTGGTTTCCCTAATACTTAACTTCTGGATAGTGATTTATCCGGTGGATAGCGCTATCCATCGTTTGAATAACCCGGGCAAGGTCTTTTCAGTGGTCTGAAACTACATAAACCCACAACTTTCGTGTGATTGATTATTAGCAAAACGCTATACTTTTATAAGCTGTTATCGAATAACCCACGAATTCAGCCAGAAATTGCATAACCTATGTGCAGCTGTGCTGGACGTCAAAAAACGGAATTTGAAAACGAGTGTTGTGACAGTGATGAGTCTGTTGGCTGTGACGAGTGTTGTGACTGTGAAGAGTGTTGTGATTGTGACGAGTGCTTTGACTCTGACGAGTGATGCGACTGTGACGAGTGCTGTAACTGTGACGAGTTTTTGACCAAATGTCACTTAATACAACCCCCACCACCTACCCTCCCCTCCCCCGCCCCGCCCGCCCAACAAGCGTTGATTTGATCAGAAGCAGGCAATTTTTGAGTGCATTCAATCGGTTAGCAGGACTTAACGAAAATACTGCTTACAGAAGACTTGTTTAAGCCCCACGGTGTGTGATGCAGGTATATCATCTTCCATCACTTCAGCACTTCCTTGGAGTACTACAAAGAGAGTACCACCTACAAAAACATACAAACAATCATTCAACTTAGGAAACATCGTCAATATCTATCTTGGAAGAGAAAAAATGTTTCTTAAAATTCACAAGCCATGTACGATTCATAGACAGTAGGGTACGTGTCTTCGTATTCGATTGTTTTTGTTGGTTGGTTGGTTGGTTTTGTTTGGTTTAGTTTTCTTCTTTTCTTTCAGCAAGTAAACCAACCTTAAACAGGGTAACTTAAAAAAAAGGATTTTAAAAAATACTCTTTCCATCTGTGTAAAGCTCCTAACAGCGGACACGTTTAAACTCAGCACTATATGGTGGAGTATGTAGCCTACGGTAATAGTAAAGAGCTTAAGCAACGACAACGGCGACGTCAACAAGAACGGGAAAAAAAAGCGCAGTACAGTTGTAGGTTTAATAAACAAAACAACAACTTCGCACGTGCATCATGCTATTTTGTGCATTTCTTTACCGTCCACTGGGATTTCAGATTCGGGTTAGGTATAGGTGGTTTTCATGCAGTCTCGGGAGACACAAATAACAATGGTGAAATGAACAAATGCTGGTGGACAAACAAAACGAGCTAATGAGCGATCTTTTGTTTACCGTCCACCAGCATGGCAGCAATGACGTAACGTGAAAACCACCTATAGATGCTACCATCCCTTGATTAAGCCGGATCTCATCCACACGAATCAGGGTATTTTTGAAACTTCATATTTTTTACACGAATAGTCCGCGAATGAAATATTTCACGCGGATTCCCTGTTTTCGTGTGGGTCGATAATTTTCCCGTAGAAAAATGTGGTTTCGAAAATATACGGATTAATTTGGACGAGGCCTTAAACACATTTTTCACCAAAAGAAAAACTAACAATAATAAGATTAAAAATATTTAAAAGCTATAAAAAAAACACCACAAATAGGCAATTTTCGCCAAATGGCCTGAGAAACCTGGGTAAGTGAATGCTCACACTTAAGCATTTTTGTCCACAGACTCGACATGCTAATTGTATATACAAACTTTTCCCTTTTGGTTGATGTTTTATACTACCCAGGTTTAAGTAGTGACGCGTCATCACTAACCAAATCCTTGACCACGCTTGTAAAAGGCCAACTGGTTTGCCTCAGGCCAGTTGGGATTCTTAACCACATTATGTTTCATTCAAATTGTTCGTTTTAGGAATTTGCTCGCCCCCACTAGCATTAGTGCTATAAATACTGCCGAGGGTAAACAACGGAAATTATTTTTTTATTATTGATTATGTGAATTTTCACAACTCAAAAGACAGAAACAACTTAAATGATATAAGCGGTTTTTTTACAGTTTGTCTCATGATTCACCTAGATATTGATCGCGACGTTTCGACCCCATACTGCAGGTCTTCATCAGGCGATATAAGAGTCGATTCACTGAGTAGGACTATCTGTACCACCGTGGTTATTAGTGATTGATAAATTTTGTAGAACAGTATAATCTTACCATCTTGGTATTGTCTCTTAGACAGCACAGCTTCATCTGCTTGAACTTCCTTGATGACCATGGACAATGCAATAAGATATAAAAAACCAGGAGGACAGTGCTGGAACTCATCTGTCTGGTAAACAAACCCCAACCATTTAAATTCAAACTGATTTACCTGCTCGTTTTCGTTTCTTTTCAATTATTATTTTTTTTAATTCTAATTTATTTAATTTGGCAACCATTTCTCCAGAGTGAATGTAGGTAATATCGAGTCAGTATTTCGTACTTGACAAGATTATTTGTAATGTTTATATTAGTTTATATTTGACAAGATCATCAGTAGTTTTCATAAACTTTTTCCCTACACCAACAGTTGTGAATGCTATCATAAGGATCTCTTGGCCACTTGTGGAGGCGTGTGTGGCCGAGTGGTTAACGCCTCGAACTCCGGATCTGGAGGTCCGGGATTCCAGCCTCGCCTATCGCGTTGTTTCCTTAGACAAGGAACTTTACTCCACTTTGTCCCTCTTCACCCAGGTGTATAAATGGGTACCGGCGACATACTGCTGGGGGATAACCCTACGATGGACTAGCATTCCGTCAAGGGGGGAGTCGCAATACTCCTTTTCTACTACCTCTTGGTCACTAACCCAATCCTGGACGAGACAAATATTAAAACTTTAAAAAATATATTAATTCCTCAGATCTAATATTTCGCAATTGTGAAATTAACATCATCATAGTGTTTAAATTATTTTAATCCAAAAAGGCAGGGTACAAGTAAGTTTTTTTTTTTTGTCTGAGACTGCAATCACCACTCTTTAACCATTTTATTTACCTGCTTCAAAGTCATCCTCAAAATCTAAGAAAACCAAAACAGAAACAAACACTGTTAATCAACAAGTTTTGTTTTGAAAAGAAGGTATCATAGCAAGACAATATACATGAAGCTAAATGTAATCCCCCAAAAACATTTCAAAAAATTAAAGTTGTGACACTGTACGAATATTAAAATTCACCTCAAGCTCTATAGATATCCAAAACAAAAACGTAACGAGGAAATGAAAGAAATGATCACAAATAATAAAAAAAAGAAAAAAAAAACGTCCCTAGCAGACAATTGTCAGTGTGTTTTAGGTATGGACAACATGCAAAGAACAATGTAATAATTATTTCTATACAGGCATCTACATGTATATGAGCATCAATGTAAATGGAAAGAAAAAAAAGAAAGTTTCAAACCTCGAGATCCAAAGCACCTCCATACTTTGTGTACAACTCAGCATCTCTCTGGTTTACTTGTTGTTTCCACTTTACATTCAGTTCTTGCAGTAGAGATGCTTCTGCTGTGAACTGCAAGCAGGGAACAAAATTAAAATAACTGACAAAGTTAATGAAATTAGAAACCTTAATATTAAAGCGCTTTAGATATCATGGGATGTTATTAGCTTTCTAACCAATGTTCATTAAATTTATATGAAATTTGCAAAATGCTATGAAACACAAGTCTTCAAGACATCTTGAAACTTGAACAAACATGTTGGCCCACCCAAAACGGCTGTATTAGATGTTGCAACAGCAACAAGTGAGGAATAACAAGGTCCCTGGTCAAAACTGTGCAGGCAAATCACAGTGGACCTCACAATAGACAGATAATTTACAGCGTAGTAGCTTAACACATTCACACCTTTTAAACCACCCATAAACATTAACACTATTTATGTACAGTATGGGATCAAGTGGCATGTTATAAAGTCAATATGATACATCCACACATCAGTTTGGATTATGTGTCCACATTTTCTTTGCCTATTGGAATAGTAATAACAAAAAGGTCTTCTAACAATAAATAAATTATCATTTCAACAAACCTGACTGAAATCATCATGGAAGTTTTCTTCCCGAAGCGTAATGACCTGGCAATGCCCAGATGACCTAAAGAACAAACAATACTTCTTTTCACTTTCAGCTTTTTAACTTGACAAGAATCTACTCTGATAAATGACCAGCTTTAGTTGCAACCACTTGCTCATTCTCAAGGAGGTCACTTTCAAAAACTTTGACTGACTGTGTACAATACTGTGTATAGTTCAGTTGCAAATCAATAAAGTTTGTTGCATAAAATAAAAGCCCCCCCCACCTTACCACCACCACCACTGGCAAGAAAAATTTCCCCCAGTATAAAATCACGACAACAAAATAATACTGGTTCGTGTAATTTTTGAGAACAATGAGGACCGTTTTTCCTGCTGGAAATATATTTTTGTGACTATATTTTTCAGCAAGTTCATTCATACATTTATAATAATTATATCCTGTCCGTGTGATTTCTGTGGCTGTTGTTTAAAGATGCATATTTGTTTGTCTTTCTTGTGCTTTAAATATATAGAAGGACTATACATTTTAATTTCAGTAAACTGTAATAAAGAGTTTCGGCATCTGTCTCTAGATTAATTGTCTGCTTTCATAAAAACCCAAGCATTTTCAATTTAGGATTCCTTGTTATTTTGAACTGGAACTCATTGGTTATGGACAGCAGGGACTCATGATTTTTCACAATATGTGTCCCAGGACTCACCATAACTATTTGAAACAAAATCACTGTACATGTAGTTTGTATCCCACAATAATAATAATTATTATTATTATTAAATACAATCAGGGCTGTGCTCTAGCAGAGCCTGGTGGCCCATGGTGCCTAACTTTTGCTTTCAGGTGACCAGCAAATCTTTCTTTTTTCATACAAATCAAATGCTATGGACACCCTTGATTTTGAAGTTTCAGAGCACTGGGCTCCCCTTAATTTTCCTTACAGCACAGCCTAGCTAATACAATTTTTTAAGAGTAAAAAATAATTATGTTGTTATTATGTCTTTTCTAGAGCTGGAAAGATTGTGACAGTAGTAATTTTCAGATGACGATGGCCTATTCTTCAGAGGGGAACCTGATGGGTCTACATTATGTTTTACCTGAATTATTACCTCACAGTGGATCTTCTTTCAGTCCCAGTGAAAAAACCTGAATGGTAAATTGCAGCATTTATTAGTACAATGTCACACAAAATTTGAATGGTGTTGTATACTCACAATCAAAACTACTTTATTTATGGTAACAATTAAATTCCTTCCATATGGAAGTTTTGCTATATTATAGCAAAACTTTCACAAAAGTGACAATATCCTAGATAACAACATTCACTTTAAATTAGTTTAAGAACATCTGGCGGGAAATCACTGTCTTCTGACAAACATTCAACATCCCTATACCACAACAGTCTGAAATTAACCTTAATTAATGGCAGCAAATGTTGTTATCTACGAGATGGTCACTTTTGAGAGGCAGTAAAAAAAATTGTATTAGTAATACATGTACATGTGCCATTCAAACTGGACCATTATTTTTGGGATTCAATTGATGAGAAAAAGTCCTAGCACTGATCTATAACATGACATAACCCCCTTAAGAAAAAAACAAGTGGCTGCAGTTACTGAGAAGAAGAAGCTGGGTTTTGTTTTTGAAACTTTACTCGTCTGACTTCTGTTGCAAGGGATGGCGAGGATTCCACATGGATTGAAACTTGAAAATTTGGGCCAGCTTATTCAATTTTTGATGATATTCCTTCTCAGTAAAATCACCAAAAAAATGTCATGGTTAGTGCAGAGTGCCCTGTGGTGGAACTATTTTGTTTAATATCTTCTTCACAACTCTACAGGTGCATTTTGTGTATGGGTAAAGGCACTTAATAAAATCACATAAAGCACAGAACTGACCTACAGCATTGTACATTGTAAAGAAGCTGTTATTTAATTAAATTGGTTGGCCATAGCAATGTGTCCCCAAAATTCCCTTAAGGGTAGGTTTAAAAGCGAGTGCGAGATTTAAAACTCAGTTTTTCCTAGCAGTTGAGAAGAAGTGAAGATATGTGAATATAAAAACCGAAAACAGAGACAATTCACACTAGTGTAAGTACATGTAGATGCTTTTCGAGGCATTAATTTTTCATCTTTTGAGCAATTTCTTATGTCAGCTTGGTTTTCTTCTCAGTGAATCAATTTATCTTTCTATTTAATGCTTGTAACCATGTTGAACAAAAAAAGGAAGCGAGACCGATTTCAACATGTGAATAAAGTTGAATTGTTAGAATACTAAGATCTGAGAGATGAATTTACAAGATATGTGAACTGACAATAACAGCAGCAATATACTCATGACCATATAGTTAGTAGAGGAGACTGCTTATGAAAAATGGCAAACATCAAAGATAAAAACAACAGCACTGCAGATTACAGCTGAATGTTAGCAGCTCCCTGACTCTGCACATACAATCCTTAAACTTTTATTTTGCTTGTCACAGAATAAATTAATGCGACACTTTTATTGGTCAGAAAGATCCAAATTAGTGATAGGAAAGCTACTGAACATTATGCACCTTCAAGTCCACAAATGTCAGGGCCACCCAATCAACTGTGGCCGGTGTCACATACGTATAGCCCAATAAAGGGCGGCTAATCAACATACCTTCTTCACCAAAGGAGAAGCCTTTTTCTCCACCAGCAAATGTAGCAAGCTCCTGGTCCCCTGTGGAAAATGTCACCCTGTTGAGTACAAATAGAGTAACCAGTGAGTTCATATGAACATATGTTGTCTCAGTTTCAAATACCATGTTATTGTGGTTCAAATTTTTCTTTGGTTTGAAAACTCCTAAACAAATTGAATGGATCATGGATCATCATAAAGGTTCTAAGGCAAAGGCAAATAAAAATTAGTGCCCTTAATATTTACTGTAAAGATTGCCACACCACCTTATCAGTGCCTAGTCTATTTGGGCACGGTGCATTAAACAGGTTTTTCTTGGTGTTGTGGAAACTATTGTTGGTTAGTTATTGTGTTGTGGTGTGGGTATTGTGCGGTGTCTTTTCATGCTTTTGAATTATGTCATTTGGTGATTGCACCTGTCCCCAACACCAAGAGACTGCCCATTATAAAATGTGGAACCTCCGATAAGTCACTGCCCAAAATGCAATTTAGTGGTTGCTTATGGGAGATAGTCATTCATGGAAATCAAACCACAAGGGGTCTCTTCCAAGAAAGGTCCCATCACATTTTCTTTTTGGAAGAGAATTTATTGCACTTAATTTCTAAGCTATGATATGTGTGGTTTCAGTTTGTCAAACCAGCAGGTCAGAGGTCAGACCATGCACCAAGTCGTTAATTACAAGATGTTAAAAACAATGAAGAGGGTAGTATTTTATGAGAGGTTTAATTTTATCACAGAGCTTTGACTATATAGGAAAATTTTGATGTTTTGAATCTAATAAGGGTGGTCACAAGGATGTTCCACTGTATTATTAAACAGAGGGTTTCTATTTTTTCATTTTAAAATTCAGTTACAGCAGTCACTCAGTCTTAAAGCAGTTCAAACTATAAACACAAAAAATGTGAATTAAACCAATTACACGTGACACAGGAAGGATTATAATATCAATTTGTACAATGTACTTACTGTCCATGAACAAGAATAAATATTTCCTGCCCCTTCCATCCTTCTTTGGTAATAATGCTATTTGCGGGATACAGCATAATAATTTCTGCAATGTAACAATTTACGTATTTATTCGTTCCTAACTTTTCTTTAAAAAAATGCCTGTTCTTTTTCTGTTAAACATTTTTCTCGTTGACTGGCAAATATGCAAACCCTGAATAAACCGTGGTCAAGTACATGTTACATGTAAAAACTGTACTTTAAAAGCAAATAAAATTCAGAAGTTTTTCCATGATCAGTTGTGACCTTTACGGCAGCATAGAATTAAATTACTGTTATGGTGCTCCTCAATCAATTTCAGTAGTCTACACAACCATAACCTTTTTTTTTCAGTCAGGGGTTGCTGATTTGAATAGTTCAAATTACTATTATTTTTAAATAATAAAATGATATTTTAGTATCATTTTAACTTAAGTTTAATTTACCAGGTTTAACTGTTTTTATTACAGCATCTAAAGCTTCTTTCTTCCAACCATGCAACACTGGAGACTATAATACAAAAATAAATTACTTTAAGGAATCTACTTGTAATAAAATTAAAAATTTGCTTAAAATTGATATTTGAAGTTTTTTTGAAATAATTTTCAAGAAAACAGAGATCAATACAGTTCCTAAATTACTTTTGGTATAATTTCAATTATTAATAAATAATGATCTTACCCTTTGTAGCGCATCAAGGGCAATCTCACGAGACAGCTGGTGACTGTTGAACAGTTTACTGGTGTCAAAGTATCTCCTATTAATAGCACAAACACGCACAGATAATAAATTAAAATAATTATCATTTTCTGTGAATAATCAGTCCCAGCTTTTAGCTCAGGTAATAACATAATTAGATGGAACTGACAAATTTTTATATTAGTTATACACATGTAGAGGCACTTGACCGCAATAACATTTATACTCCATGCTGGTTGGCAGAGCTATGTACAACATCTTGTATTTGTAGCAAATTGCCTAGAGCATTTATACATAGCTGTCAAAGAACAGAGGATTTTGTCAACTGACAAAAAATTGTAGGTCTCCGAACTTTCTGGATGGAATCTTTGAAGTTTGGTTACGCTTGAGAAAATTTTGGTACGTCAAAAAAATTATTTGAACTAGCAATGTCTTCCTGTTGCCAGATTTTTTGCAAAACAAAAAAAAATTTGTATAGTGCGAACAGGACCTAAACTTTATACATGTGTCACATTGCTATATAACGGAACAACAGGAGAAACAGGTTTTCCATAATTATCACAATTAACTTATTTATTTTAGCATCCACTATAAGCACATAAGATAGGTGTCACTAACCTCTGTTGAAACCACTGCAACAGCGTCACTTCACTTGGAAATGTAAACAGTTGACGAGCATCAGAAGTTTTTAGCAACAAAATTACACAACTTGTAAAAGACAAAAAGATAATGGACACATGTCACTTGAAAAGATAGAGGAGCAAAGTGATCCAAAGTAGACTTAAGTGCCTGGAAACCTGAATTATTTTAAATAACTCTAAGATCCTGGTGTAAAATGCTTTATTATAAGGCTGAATCCGCGAGCAGTCAAGATGAAGTGAATCTTGCATTCTGATTGGCTACCTGAGCGGGCAAGAGGGGTCAATCTTGCCTGCTGGGGATTTCCCATGTTGGTCCCGCAAGTAAATGTTTACTTTTTGGCCATATAATAAATCATTTATTGTCCAATTTTATTTGGTCAAGATGGACTGAATATTGACCTCTACTTCGTCTTGGTCAATGAAAAAACAAAAAAGAACTTGGCCAATATCCAGCCATCCTGCCCGCATGCTTGGTCAATAACACATAATATATACCTCACAATAATTTTCCACGACATTATGTACATCAAGAGGCTACTCAGTCACTTGCATTTATAACTATCTTCATCTTATGTCTTTATAAAGACCAAAGAATCATTAAAGAATTGACAGATTTTTTTAAAAGTTTAAAAATGACTTCATTAAACTACAGTGTTATAAAAATAACACTTCATTTTTTAAAAGCAATGCTTGATTTATAATATTTCCTTTCACATAAAAATATTACTAATTTCTCAACAACCATATCCATTGCATTTTGCTTACTTTTCCATCATAGCAACACAGCAAATCACCAGTTTGATTATTTTTTATTTATTTCACTAAAACATGAAGTAATTGTAAGTACCTTTACAAAGCAATAATTTTTCATTACTTGAAAAACGAAAAAGAACTTTCACAAATGGCACCACTGTCAAGATTTAAATCAAACACCTGAATATTTCTCTATACCTGTTCACTGTCTTCACGTCAGCAGTGCACTTGATATTAAAAAGGACTGAAACTTCACCAAAACAATCACCAGCTTGGATCTCTCTCAGAACATATTTTTCATTTTCACTCACAACATTTACATTTCCAGACACAAGCACATAAATTCCAGATGGCTCTTGACCCTTCCTTAAAAGAATTTCTGGAGTATCAGGGGTCTCGACCAGTTCCACCCGACGTATCACCTCATCCCGTACCCTCTTATCAAGAACAAGTGGAAGGCGGTTCAAACAGTTTGCAAGTGTATTGACAGCTTCAGGTGGAAGTGATGGATTGACAGCTGATGCCAAATTTGGACGTACAATCTGACTCTCCCTTCTTTTGGAACTTTGCCTGTTACCCATTGCTTGGCAAATGTCTGTGGTGGATTTAGTTTGAGCAGGTTGTTATGCTATGAGAATAGGGGGTTTACCTAAGGGGAGAAAAATGAAAAAAATATAGGATTCATGAGAAAATGTACTGGGCAAACTTACAAACCAACAACTGGCCATCCATTTTACCAACATTAACGTTTTGTTGGTTTCACAGGAGTGTGTATATTAAGTTGCATAAATAGTGCAGAAGTATTCAAGGCATGCTTGTAAGGAGTCTCAAGGGGCTAGTACACTGTTTAAGATTTGTTAAGCTATGCAAGAGCCTTTTGAGGCATCTCTTTCAACCCTGGATTTTTTATTTTATTTACTGGTGTAATTTTCCCTGAGTTTGTAAAACTGTAATGCTATTTTTTGTAACGCTCTACACTCACTTCATCAATAAATGAGATCGATGCCCGCTCCTATTCTGTGTTTTGTGATTATTTAAATTAGTTACAAAATATTTTATAATTGTTTCAGTGTGATTAGAATATAACCTGAATCCTTATGATGAGTGTATAGTATTACATGTATGAAATAAATGGTTCTTCATTTGAACCTGAATCCTTATAATATGCCTTAATTAAACAATCAACTCTGCCTCTGCCTCAACAGATACTGTGAGATGGACATGCACCTCCCTAATCCAGATACCTAGAGCTGGTCCTTGCAACCACTCTTCAGTGTTTTGCTTGATCATGACTCTATGGGGGGAACATCTACAGCCATACATGTATTATAGTGACGGACCAAACAGTATCCATCTTAGAAAGCTTTGCAGGTTTTGATTTAGTACTCATGCATCGATCAGTATAAGTATAGAATTAAGTTAACTTATCCATACCCTTGAAGACAATATTATTGATTAAAGCTTGTATGGTTATACCATGCACGAAACGTAAAACATCTGTAAAACCTTACTCACCGGACCAGATTGCTTGTGCAAGTAAAACAGAAGAATAACTGTACACGTTTGAACCAGCCATGTTGATCAATTTGTAATCGTTTCATGTTAACACCATTTATCAGCTGAAGTACCTCAAAAGACTACAAAACTCACAGCAGCAGCAGCAGCCGCCATCTTTGTATAGCGAAGGTCGCGTTGCACTATGGTATATAAAACTGCCAACTCGTTCCCATTGTCCCGTGCGCCGAGTCAGAACTTGAAATTGCGTGACAAACGAACCCCAAAGGACGTCTGCGGGGAGGCTACAGGGTTATGGGCTCCTGCGCCGAGTCAGTACCTGTTCTTGTTACTCATTCAAAATACTTCGCTGTTTCTGATTGGCTAACACCCTCCTCCTATTTATTCATTTATTTACTTAGGTTTGCCAATTCTTGGCAGGGTCACCACAAGAATAGAAAGAGCATTTTCCAGTTGTCCGTCAGCTGCTAACAAATGAAACTGAAAAGTACAGGTACATTCATTTAATTCCAAAGATAAAAAAAGATCAGGAGTCCTTATTTTACGTCGATAGCGGCCGACAGTGCGCTTATTTTACCCCACCCCACCCCCTTCCTTCCTGCCGTACACCTTTATAATAGTATATAGAGAAATTCCGTTCTCTGAGTTTCAAATGAATCTTAATAGAACATTTCGACTTGAAGTGAAAATAATTAGTTTGAAACAATTTGGTGCATACAGCTCTTGGGAATTGACAGGCAAGTCAACTAAGACTCAGATGAGTCACGTGAAACTAGAGATATTCCTCTTAAAAAGCTGTACTGAAAATTCTAAAGGTAGATACTGTAGTGTCCTAATCGGCATCTAAAGTAGAAGAGAAGATCGTTAATTTCGTGGACATAATCGACAATAAGGAATAGCTAGAAACCAGGAGCCTAGAAACCCAGTTTAGTAAGGTTCTCATGGTACTGTGGTTGAATCCTTCCCATCCAAGCAAGTTCAAAATATATTTGGTTGCTCAAGTCTTTTTCGGAGACCCTCATCTTTCGAAATATTTCCAATTGACTGAGGACCCCAGATCTCACAGAGCATAATCATATTCAGGTGAGATCTGACAAATGTAAGGTATAAAAGTGTTTTGGTGGCATTTTTGGTGGCATGTCCCGGGGGGGGGGCACTGCCATATATGGGCTATATAGGTATGTGCCGCTGTGAAGGGTATGGTTTTCAAGCAGTTTACTCTAGGATAGGGTATATAAATCGGAGCGTTTGGGTCTAGAATAGGGTATTATTTTTCAGGAAACTAATCAGTTGGTTGAAGATTTTATCTAGACTAGGGAAACAGCTACACTGGGATAGGGGAGATTTGAGAGTTTACTCTAGTATAGGGTAGCAAAATTCAGCTGAACTAGCTCTGTTATAGGTAAAGGGTTCCAGGGTCCCAGCGGCACATCCCCACCCAGAAATTGCTAAAGTCCCCCCCCCCCCGGGAGGCATGTCTTCGAAGCCGAACTAAAAGGGTTTTGCAGAACAGTAGAAATAACATTTTATTGCTACTCCCCGAGGGCACAGCACGGTCCATCCTCAGTGTCCGTGTATTAGCGGAAATGAGGTTAATGCCGTCAAATATATCGCCGAAACCAGTAAACGCCTAGTTGACAGATTTATGGAACACTTCAGCTTAAAACAGATCTCCCCGTTGGCCGCAATTTTGCTTCCCCGGGTCACAAAACAAACTGTACTGACACGTGAAAGTCAACGCATTCAAGCAAAGTTACCTTAAGTCTTTACTTTGGCTTTATTTAAACCTTGTTCCACTTCCGGCCTCGTTTCTACACATTCCTTAATTGGTAATTTGTTTCAAAATCCTCTTGTGTTTCTTCTCCACATATGGCCTCTCCCCAGGCCTTTCCAGGTAATATTTCGGTAACACTACACTTGCTCCAACCACGTGACCCAAAACGCTTCGTCCGCGCAGAACAATGAGGCCCACTGTATCACGCAGGTGTTTCTAATTATAGCAATGTTCCAATTTTGACTATATTTGCTGTTAATTATTAATTTTACAATAACAAATCAGCGGCTTGCTTATTCTCATTAGGAGATAACTTCATTTTTTACTAAACGCTACACGTCAGAAAATACGTTAAATTTTTATGTCCCCATCAGCTTTGCAGTTAAAAGTTAAAACTTTTAAATTCAAGTTTGTGTACGGTTAACTGAATTGGTGGTGGCATAAGATGAACAGTTATGCCAACAATAACACCGCTGGATTTTGAAAAAGAAATTCGCGAGTTTCGCGGACAACAACAAGCGCTTAAATTGCCCCCAATAAACCAGTCGAATGGGTTTGAAAACTTCTTCAAAAGAGAGGATAAATTACACAAAAACCTGAAACTTCTTGACATAACAACGACTTCAAAGAGACGCAAGTTATCAAGGCAGAAAATTAAGAAAAAGGCTAAAAACGTCGAGGAGGAATTTTCTTCCAAGGTGAAAAAAGTCAAGAAGAGCGAGAAAGCACCGTCAGCGCAAAGAATTTCAGCTGAAATTACAAAGTCATTCTCCCTTATTTCAAGTCCCAGAGGTTCAAGGTACACTCTTATTCAAAGACAATCATCAGCAGGGAGTGTTGAGAGCCATAATGGGCAAGAAGCACATGATGCATATGATGGAAGTGGAAATGAAATGAAGTTCCATTCACCATAAAATCATAAAGAAGGGATATTTCAACGAGAAATGAAAAAACATCAATTCTATTCAACTCCAGTACTCACGGGATGTAAAAGTAAATAGCGAAGAATTTTTGTCGCCGCTTGGCTAAGCTCGCATTTGATAATAAATTCTTCCGAATTCTTATTTTAAATCTTGTCTTGTTATCTCCAACAATGCAAGCAATGTGCGGCAGTGTTAAATTACCGTATTTCCTCGAATAATAGCCAGGGGCGATTTGATTATTTTTTTTCGCACAAAAAGAGGCCGATGTGATTATTCGAGGGAAGGCGATTATTCAACAAAGGCTATAATTTCAAATATTGGGGCTTGTTAGCCTTGCTTGCATCCACTCTGTCTGCTTGTTACCGCATTTTATGAGGGTCACCGTGGGAGCTTCCTTTTGCGTTTATCCTGAACCCGACCCCTTAATTTTTCTACTGGTTTTTCGTTGTGGGGTCCTATGGCCGGGAGGGGAGGGGGGTGGATTTACCAATCGTGGATACATCACTTTATCTCAGGGTTGGCTTTTTCAAAAGTGGAAGCAGCCAGACATGTTAGACATCCGTCCCCAGGCACCCACCTCCACTGGGAGCGGATGCACGGCAGTTGTTACATGTAGCTTACAGGGGCTGGGTCAGGTCTGTCCAGTTTATTTTTATATTGTCAATTAAGAGTCCTTTTGCTCTATTGAACTTCTGAGGATGCCTTAATTATCCCGAGCCAGGACTTCGAGCTAGGACTCGGCCAGGACTGGACGCAGGACTCGACAATTTTTCGCTTTCCCGCCATTTTCACGTCCTGCAAGTCCCATGAGGGTTAGGGTAGAGTTAGAGTTAGGGTTAAGTTAGGGTTAGGGTTAGGGCTAGGTTAGGGTGAGGTTACGAGTTAGGTTATGAGTCCCTTTTGTTGCTTTTTGTTTAAATTTTGTTTATTAATTATTTTTATTTATTTATTTTTTGTTTACAGAAAGATTAGAAAAGTCCTAAATGGAGTCCTGGCTCGAATCCTGCCTTTGATGTTAGTTTATCTCCTTAACACTACCAAAAATTGGCGATTTTTGGTGTTTTGCGGGAACTAATTTTTACGATTAGGACAGATTGGTTTTTCTTGTTAAGATTAATTTTTGGGATTTTCAGAATGTACCCAGCACCCAGCATTGATAATTTTTTCGTTTTTATTGAGTACGTGCAATAGAAATACATATTTTTCAAACAATACTACGATGTGTGTACCCTATTTAAAACCAGTATTTCATTGCATACCGATTTGTTTCTGAACGAAAGAGACAAGTTTTAATTTCTTAGTACCGTATTTTTGAGTAGCGAAGTTAAGTTAGAGAATAGTGCATTTACTCTGGACTAAATTTTTGCAA